TACATATGTACCTTGTAAAACAATATATTTTTTTCCTAGCGTGTGTCACTGAGCACAATTTTGAGATAATTATAATATATATACTTGTCAACCGTAAAGTACCCTAAAATAGAGAAAGCATACAATTGTCACTGTATTGATGTGTTTTTTTCGAACTGAGTACAGTGACCCCATATTTCTCCATCCTTGTAACATACACAGATACTACCTAGCTGCCAGTCCCGATCGGCACTCAAAATTAGCGACCAGCACAGAAATTGCCCTATTATAATTGGCAATCGCCTGCATGCACACCGTCAGTCATGGATTAGAATTTGTAAACAATGGACCTAGTCACACATGCAAGTACTGTAAAGTCTGTATTAGAAGCCGCATCCCTAATAGAAGTCGCACCCATTTTTTTTGAACAGTTGAGAACCAAAAATCCATGATTTCTCATATGTGTAGATGCTCTAGTAGAAGCCACATCTCTTCTGTTGCATTGTACCATTTTAATAGAATCCGCGGCAGATTTTACAGTAGTACATGTAGCTTATAAACAATAATAATAATAATAATAACTTTATTGCATCCTTAGTAATACAAACTTTCTATCAGTTACTGTAAAATCTGTATTAGAAGCCGCATCCCTAATAGAAGTCGCACCCATTCTTTTTGAATAATTGAGAACCAAAAATTCACCATTTCTCGTATGTTTAGATGCTCCAATAGAAACCACATCCCCTCTATTGCATTGTACCATTTTAATAGAAGCCGCAGTCTCTAATACAGATTTTACTGTAATAGCAATAAAGATTAGTTACAACTACTACTATAAAAAGAAAGAAAGTAGGTAATGGAATAAAGCAAGTGTTGCATACTGGATGGCATTTTCATTTCTTGATTGAAATAGTTATGAATATATTACCTATATTTTTTATTATCTTTTAAAGTCATCAAGAAATTAAATTTCTGGAGATCATCCTGTGTATCTTGTATGATTTGTTGGCGTATCATTATTTATAACAAAGTGCAGTTCATTCTCTATTTCATTCTGTGTACATAGTCTGCAAATTCTATTTATAGTACGATGGTTATTTTTTGTGTCGCATTTCTTCCCTATTCTATTGCTAAATTGTGATTACTAGTTCTAAATTTTGCTCAACACATCCAAGTATTTTTCAAAATTATAAAAATCTTTGAATTTTTTTGTTATATCTTCAGAAATTCATGTATTTTTGTTTGATAACTTTGCCAATTTGCAATTTATATTTATTCGTAACTAATTATTCTCTTGTTCCATTAAAAAATTTGTTGTTTTATCATTTTTTGTATTGAAGAAAACCATTATAAATTGGATTTCTTTTGTTCAAGATGTGGCTGTTTTGTGATATTGTCTAGTAATTTACTGAAAACGAGGCCAGTATTTTATTAAATGAATCTTAACATCTACTAAAATTGGGAATTTTCCAACTTCGATTCTGCATGCAATATTTGTCACAAACCTGATCAATCCACTATTTTTTTCTGTTATCGTTTTGTCCTATTTGTTGTAATCTTAATTTTTGGTTATGTACAATAATAATTTGTACAATAATATTGGCTGAATACACCTTTTAAAAAGATGAATGATTTGACCACATTCCTTTAAAAAATATGGATGAAAGTTCAACAAATTGTTCTACAGTGTGCTAGTAAACACTTTGACGATACACAAAATTATGGAAATTGAAAGCTAAAATTGCCCCCGCTCAGATATACATGTATCATGGTCAAAGCAGAGGTCACGATCTGTTTACGCTATTTTACGCAAGTGAGTAAAAAATACAATTACAACTGTTATAATTGTGAATGATGTCAAAATTCTTTTTTTTTTTCAACGCTTGTTTTACCTTTCAAAAATTGTTACTGGTAATTACCTATTTCAAAAAAAGATCCTGTAGTTTTGAACTGAAATCCAACAGATTGTGCTACAACATCGTATTTTTTTTTGAGCAAAGCAATCTTTATAATAACAACCTTGCGGCACTCTGATTGGTTAATGGCATTATTGTCCAATCAGTCAAAGGACACATGATTGTCAACTAATGCATCACAACCATCATAGCGGGTCTGTGTTTTTTTTATGACGCAATCAAGTTATCAAAAAGATTCATTCACAATAAAACTCAAACTTTACTTTCTTGTATTTCATAACAGAACAAAGAAGTAACATATTTTGTATGGTATCTCGACTGAGTAAGAGGAATGACGGGTGCATAACCTTGAGAAATAAGTTATGTAACGTTTTGGAAGCTGATTGTACAAGTAATAAATTACAGCAATCCACCAACTGCCTAATTACATATACTTTTTTTTGAAGGAGTGTTTTTGTGTATCTTGAAACTCGTGAACATATTTCTGGCTGAAACATTTCAAACATGTTTTATTTGACCCTTACCAATAGACATTGCAACAATAATACATTTGTATCAGTGTTTAGTCACAGCATTTGCATTTTAAAAATGTTTTGAATTGTTTTATTTATATTTAAATTCCAACTATTTTAAATTCTTCATGGAATTTTTGTTTCATTTAATAATGTCCAATTTTGATTTTGTAGTTTGTTCAAATTTATTTTGGGGAGTAATGCTTGGAATTCTTGTCTGATATCATGCAGACAAATTCAAGGACACTACATTTATTACATAAAAAAAAATCAACAGGTACTTGTTGAATCGTTTAATCATAACCATAATGGTCTCATTGTGAAATTTATTTTTCATGCCTAAAAAATTAACAAACATTTTTGCTTTAATAAAAATACATGGACACCAACTGCATTTCGACCTCATGGTACTGATCATTTAAACTACCGTAATTGTAATCTAGTGACCTCATTAATTATGAAACAGATGTCTGATAGTTTGCGGCTTTAATATCTTTTTCTTAATGATTTAGCTATATTGTGTACTTGACAGTTTTCAGTACTATATTCTCCAGCATAAATATTGGATTATTTGTAAGCATAAGATTGGAATGTGAATTTCGTTCATTATTGGATTACTGTGTGATGACTCAGGGCCTACCTGTGATTTAGAGTCTCATATTGACTACGGTATGTCCCAGACTGTTTAGTAGTACAGGGTTTCTGCCAGAGCGCGCCATTGCGGGATTACTGCGAAATTTCGAACATTGTCCCGTTTTTTTTTATAATTGAGGGCCAATATGGGCGCTGCATGATTTACACAGAAACTGACGCAGAAAAAATCACTTGTGCGCCCTATACAAATTTGCCGGTTAAGAACATAGACAAGGTCTTTGACTATGCAAACAACACCGAATAAACAGCCAGGTAGATACTATT